TTATGGGTTTGGAACGACATAAGGGTGAGTAATTAATGACAGAATTTTCATTTTTGGGAGAACTATCCCTTTAATGATCACCTGTCCTCTAAATTGTTGTTCTTGTGCTATTATTTTCTACTTAGCACATTTGGTAACAATCTGTTGGAAGTATGTACAACAGAAACTTTGGTGGAAGACAGACATCACTGTATCTTTATTCATGCTGTATTTTGACTTTAACTGTAAAAATGTGTTTTCATCCTTTCACAGACTGTTACCAGTATCCAAGGGCACTTGGATAGCATTGGAGAGTCTCCAGCTGTATCTACTTGTTGGGCTGAAGAGAAGTAGGGTCCAGTCTTGTTTTATTGTAATTGTCCAACATGCTCTACCCTGTAAGGCCTCTAATTCACTGGCCTGTGTTGATGAGCTTTTCAAAGCTCACTTTGTCTTAAGAACTTCATACTGTCAGGAATTGACCATTGTGTATAGCTTTCTGTAAAACACTGCCTATGATATAGATGCTGAAACCATCAAGTGATCATAATCACAAGTGAATTAAATGTAATACTGTTTAAATAGGAGCTTGAAAAATAAAATTGAGATATGAGTATACAGTTTGTTGTTGACTATTTTCAGATTGAAAAATTTGTTTTTCATTTATATTTTAGGGCTTTTGAGGATAAAACATGAAGGGTGTAATTTAGAAGATTAACTCTGGATAGAGTTAGTTATTCATTAAAGTTCACTCATAATTGATGATAAACAACTCTGGAGGGGAGGTAAATTGTGGTAGAGTAAATTTGACTTTCCTCTGAACAGAGTTAAAAAGTCGCAGAGTCCATTTCTTTTACCTCTGAACTGAGTAAAATAGTACAAGAGTTAATTTAAAAAAACACTAAATAGAGTCAAATATAACAGGAAAGAGTAAAATATTAACACTAAATTGAGCAAAATGAACTCTGGAAAAACAACTCTATCAAAAGAGTAACTTTTACTCTTTTCAGAGAGGGACCAAATGTTATCTGGCATAGAGTAACATTTTCTTCAATTTGAGTAAATTTTACTCGGGCAAATTTACTGTGAGGATGTAAGAGCGGAATCCATCCGTATCTGTGAAGCTACGTTCCCTGAGGGAGGAAGCAACCTAGCAGACAAAATCGACACAGTTTATCATGTGGGAAAGAGGATCCAGAATAGTTCTCGTCCGCGACCCGTCATTATTCAATTTTCTTCGCGAGTGACAAGGGACGGAGTGTGGAGGGCAGCGAGGACGTCGGAGTTTCTTCGTGCCAATCAACTGCGCTTCACTGAGGATCTCATCACGTCTGATCGGGAAAGAAGACAGCTGCTTTGGCCTGCTGTAGATAAGGCTCGAAAGGAGGGAAAGA